CCCCCCCCCGCCTGCCACCAAGTTCAGCCAGTTTGGCCAAGAAGTCCCAGCGCCTCCGTGGCCTGGCCCGGCCCTGGCGCTCCGCGTGGGCTTCGCGGGCTCCGCGAGCTCCGAGCTGTGCAGCGGGGCCAGCGAGAGGGGACTGTCGAGGGGCGCCGTCCATGAAGGTAGAGGCCAGAGTTCGTCAGCCCCGCGCTCGAGGTCTGGTGCGGAGGCCCGGGCTTTGGAGTGCGTCATCAGGGAGCGGGCACCTCAGCCGGCAGGTCGGGTTCCCCAAAGTGTCCCTTTGTTATGCCCCTCCCTGGCCCTGCCTCCTCCCCCTGGCCCCGCGCCACTCCTCCCCCAGCCTCCTGGCTCTTGGGGCCCGGGTGGCTCTCTCCTGACCAGCCGACCGCCCCCTGGTCGGTGCCTTCAAATCCTAGGGCTGCCGGCTGACCGGGAGGGGCTCCAGGGGGAAGCCCTGGGGTGCAGCCCGTGACTCAGGATGGGCCGGCAGGATGGCTCTGTTCCCTCCCGGGACAGGCCCCCAGCTTCTGGGAAGGGGCGCGGGCTGGTCTGGCGTGGGCGTACTTTCGGGCCTCAGGTAGGGAGAGTGGGGCCTTCCCTGGACCGGGGGACTCTCCGCCTTGTCCCCTGCAGCTGTGAGGACACTGGCCAAGCCCCCAGACTTCTCTGGGCCCCGTGAGTGCTGCTCCCGGGCTGGGAAAGTTTCCTTACCTGCTTTGGGAGCTCTTGTGAGTAGTAGAGTGGTTCCGATTCGGGGAGAACTCGGGTCTCCGCTGAGGCCAGGAGGCAGAGTGCTCCCGGGGGGTGGGGGGCTAGGTCCGCCCCACAGCGGGTGGACCCGGGCTCTGGGGCCTGGTGGTGCCTGGGGCTTGAGCCCGTGTTTGCTCTGGGAGGCCAGAGGGAGTCGTGCCAGCCCTGCTCACACAGCCTGCTCTGTTCCGGGGCCAGGGAGGGGGAACAGCTAGGGGGCAGCTCTCTGGAGAGCAGAGGCTGGAGCAGGGGCCCCGGTGCCTCACTGGGCCAGCTCGGAAGGCCTGAGATGCAGGGCTCAGCCCTCTTTCTCCATCTGGTTTACAAGTCCTTCCTGGGGAGTAGGGGCAGGCTTAAGAGCAGTCTGGGCGAAGAGCTTGCCGGGCCCTGGGGGGCAGCCGCCTGCCCTCCACTGGTTGGACCTGAGCTCTCCCTCCCGTCAGCAGAGGGGAGCCTGCTAAGGCCGGCCGAGGCCTACAGAATTCCTGGTCTTCAGGGGGACACTCTGGATCTCTTGCTGAACTTCTCGGCTGGTGACTGGGACAGGTGATATCTGTCAGTCATGACCCAGGAGCATGTATGTCTTGAGGGGTCACAGGGCTGTGGAAGCCCAGAGGGCAGTGGCTGTGGGGAGGTTACCCTGTTTGGTTTGGGAGGATGAGTGGAGGAGGAGCACTAGAGAGCCCGCTCTGGGGGCAGGGGGCACACCCTCTGTCCCCCAGCACCTGGCTGTGCCCCTGGGCTGGCTCCAAGAAGGTAGTGATTTCCTTGTAGCGGCTGTGAGTCACTCAGGGGCTGGGGACAGCTAAGACCCTGCCCAGAGGTTGGAGGGGAGCAGCCACCTGCCATGGTGTCCTCTAGTCCCTGAGGTGGTGGCTCTTTGGCTGGAATTTGCCTTGCCCTTCTCTGCGATTCTGAACTGACTGGCCAATTGGCTGTCTGACACCTCCATGCTGCCCCGGCCCCTGGGCAGGACTGAGCTGCCAGAGTCCTGTGGGACCTCAGTGGATGGAACGGCCGAGTATACCTCCTTGTGATGCTGGGCCCCTCCGGCCTCCCATTCACTGCCTGGTCTGCCTCCCGCCAGCCCCGCGTGGACGTGATCTGTAGGGGACTGGGCATCTTAGCGGGAGCTCAGGCCCTTCTAGGAGGGGGCCGGTGATGTGCACTGTCGAAGCTTCCTGGCCCCGATGGGGCTTGGGCCTCCAGCTCCCTTGCCTCTCTTCCCAGCCCCGGGGGACTCCTGGGGCCCTCTCTCACTTGGCCTGGTCTGGTAAGGTTGCTTGTTGTTAAGGAAGGGCAACAGGGGTCTGGGCGTGGACAGGAGTCGTCTTCTCTTATCCGCAGTGGGGAGTGGGGCCCTCTGCCCACCACCCACCCCC